GTCAAGAATATCAAAAATGATTAAAAATGACTATTGAACATTGAACAGTCTAACATGCATTAACCTACATTGTTACCTTGTAAAAAAAATTATTTAAGTCATTCATTCTTTCAGTCAGTCACAAGATAAACTCTCAATGGCTCAGGTGCAAAAGGCGTTTCCTTACAGATGACATTTAAAGGCAAATTCAATAATTTAAATCAATAAAAACTGACACGATTTGATAAACCTGTATTTAAATTAATGTGAAATATTTAAGTTGTTCTTCAGTTCAGTTTTAGCTGTTTCAAATGTTTATTTCAAACAGTACATTTTGGTTGTTTACATTAACTTGGCACTTTTTGTCAGGGCTTGATAAAAAATATGCATATTGAGCATACTGGTAGCATGACCTCATATGTAGAGAACTTGAGTTCAACATAAGCAAAGAGGTTATTTAAGGCTTGCATACATTGGTATAAAGCTAACAGAGGAACCGGTCTTTTATAAGAGCAGAACTAAGTGCATAATGTGAGTATCAGTTGTGCTTTAATGTCAATTTCCTTTATGGGTTTATACTAATCACATTTTTCATGAATTGTATTATAAGACACCTAAGGAAAGGCTAAAGTTAAAGAAAGTTTAAGTAAAAAACACACATCAATTACATGCAACATAAAATATTCTATTGAAAGGGGTTGTGAATGTTTAGAAGGAAACATAATTCTCTGCATCTTATTCAAGAAAGTGTGTTTACTGCTAAAATGGCCATTGGTCTTATCATATAATAGTGCAGTCAGAATGAGCCTAAATGCGTGCTTTCAGAGGGATTTTACGGGACATAATTTTGCATGTTGCTAGTATGATTTCACATATTTGTATGAATTATTAGATCCTAGTTTTTCAGCTTTTAGATTTTGTGGCCATTTTACCCCCCATGGGCTATAATTTGGACCCCTACTATAAAAAAATTAGGCAAGAACTCAAAAAATACTCAATGGAATGTTTTCAAATTGCTATGGTATATTGGTATGGGCTAAATGAATATATGATAAAAATTTCAAGTCACATGGTTGAGTGGTTGCCATGGAAATGGATATAAGAACACAAATGTGTACAAAATGTCCCCACCAATGGGTGATCCCGTCAAATGGTTATCTTGAAAATGAGTATTTAAGACTTTACCGACACAATTTGAGGACAGGAAATCCAAATGGCCACCTAAAATTTTAACCAGAATGCCATAAAATTAGTCAGTTCTAGATTTTCATACTAAGAACCACCCCAGAAAATTTGAAATTGATCCGTCACACAGTTAACCAGAAAACGGGTAAACAAGACTTTACAGACAAGATTTAAGGATGGAAAATCCAAAATGGATGCCTTGACATTTACCCAGAATGTCAAAAAACTAATCAGTTCTAGATTTTCATACTAAGAATCATCCCTGAAAATTTGAAATTGATCTACCAAACGGTTCACCTGAAAACGCATAGACAAGACTTTACTGACAAGATTTTAGAACGGAAAATCCAAAATGGCTGCCTTGACATTTACCCAAAATGCCAAAAAACTAATCAGATCTAAATTTTCATACTAAGAATCATCCCTGAAAATTTGAAATTGATCTACTAAACGGTTCACCTGAAAACGCGTAGACAAGACTTTACTGACAAGATTTTAGGACGGAAAATCCAAAATGGCTGCCTTGACATTTACCCAGAATGCCAAAAAACTAATCAGATCTAGATTTTCATACTAAAAATCATCCCTGAAAATTTGAAATTGATCTACCAAACTGTTCACCTGGAAATGCATAGACAAGACTTTACAGACAAGATTTTAGGATGGAAAATCCAAAATGGCCGCCTTGACATTTACCCAGAATGCCAAAAAACTAATCAGATCTAGATTTTTGTACTAAGAATCATCCCTGAAAATTTAAAATTGATCTACCAAACGGTTCACCTGAAAATGTGTAGACAAGACTTTACAAACAAGATTTTAGGACGAAAAAATGCAAAATGGCTGACAATAAAAAAGTGATTATGAGTTTTTGCTGATTTCTTTTTACAAAATTATCACATATAACTACCATTAATAATAACATAGGATTTTACAACAAAGTACACCTGAAATTATTTATAAAGCTACAAAATAGTTAAAGTATGAAAACTCAAAAACACCATTCAATATGTAATACAAAGTATTATCGCACGCTAACTTTTCTTAAGACATTAAAAATGGCTGCCATGACTGAGCTAACAGGTCAAAAACCTAATCAGATGTAGAATGAAGTGAGCTGAACAAGATGTTAAAGTTTGAAAAGCAACTGTGAAGCCGTTTTTCTTTAAGTTTGCGGACAAGGATTTTAGCATTTGACTTCAAAATGGCCGACAGGAAGTAGGTCTCGAGTTAAAAAAATTTCATCCATATCTGTATGCAATCATTGGTGTCAATTTTCAGGCCTATTTTTCAGGAATGATAGAGTCATTTTGTGCATATTTTGTCACCATAGTGTTAGGAAGGGTTGAAGTGTGAATAGAAAACGTCTGTAATATGTTAGCAACAATCTTATGTAAAGATTAATCCACAGAATCTCAGATTTTGGCCTTATATGGGTCCATGATTTATACAGGGGCCTATTTCACAGATTCGAACCCCACATTGGATGGATGCTATAACTTTTGAAATAAGGGAGATACAGGTCTCATTTTTTCAGATCTTCGTAAATGGATGGTCTTATCTATTGTATCATATTTTGGGAGCTGGTATATTTTGGGAGCTGGTATATGATTGGTTGCCATGGTAACCAGGGTTTTAGGGAAATTCTGACCCCCTCATTGGATGGATGCTATAACTTTTGAAATATGGGTGATACATGTCTCATTTTTTCAAATCTTAGACAATCATTGATTTTAAGTATTAAATCAGACTTTGATAGCTGAAATTTGATTGGTTACCATGGTAACTAGGGTTTTGTTGAAATTCAGATCTCCACAATTGATAAATGCTTTGAATTAAAGCAGATACAGATATCAGCTATTCAGAACTTAAAAGATAATTAGACTTGCGTATTGTGTCAGACTTTGGAGGTTACAATTTACTTGGTTGCCATGATAACCATGTTTCATTGTCATGGAAACTTCATTTTTTGATTTCAGATCTACCTTCATTTGAGAATAGTCAAGACACAACATAGAACGTAAAATTGCTCAAAATTATCATTTTACTCTTAATTTCAGCATTTTTACATGTATGTCTGACAGTATTGCCTCATACCATTCTACTAGTTCTCACACATATTCTACTCCTAACTTGTTTTTACTCATCATCATAGTTTTCATCTTCAACAATGGACTCTTTATTTAAAATATCAACAATTTCAACAAGGAAGGATTCTTTTGACCATTGGGGTGTTAAGGATTCCTCGGGAATTCATAATTCATTCATGCAGTGTTTAGCTTGGTAGAGCTGGGTTTAGGCTGGTGGGAATATTTCCATATAATCCACCCTCTTCAAATGTGAGAGTTGAAATGTCAACACCTTCATAAGTGAGGGCAGCACTGTTCTGTTTTTGAGAATACTAGTATCTCATGTGAAACAGCTCATCTCAGCTCGTAATCTATTAGTGGCAGTTATTTTTTTGTAATTCAGCTGTACTTTTGCAGGTGAACAGATACTCCATTATTTCAAAAGTTATAGCATCCATCTAATGTGGGGGTTCGAGTCTGTAAAATAGACCCCTGTATAAATCGTGGACCCATATAAGGCCAAAATCTGAAATCCTGTGGATGAATCTTGTTGCTAATATATTATAGAAGTTTTCTATTCATACTTTAACCCTTCCTAACACACTGGTGACAAAAAATATGCATGAAATGACTCTATCATTTCTGAAAAATAGCCTGAAAATCAACACCTGAAGGGTATGTTTTATCTGTTTCCATGGCAACCGCTTAACCATGTGACATGAAATTTTTATCATATATTCAGTAAGCCCATACCAATATATCAGAGTAATTTGGATACATTCCACTGAGTATTTTTGGAGTTCCAGCCCAATTTTATAGTAGGGGTCCAAATTATAGCCCATGGGGGGTAAAATGGTCACAAAATCTAAAAGCTGAAAAACTAAGATCTAATAATCCATACAAATAAGTAAAATCATACTAGCAACATGAAAAAAAATTATGTCCCATAAAATCCCTCTGAACGCACGCCTAAACCCTCATTCTGACTGCACTAATAATAAATGATCTCTTATTTTACAGTATACATGTAGTTTATTACAACATGTGTTTGTGTTCTAGAAGTATATTGTTTTATTTCCTGTCTAAGCATAATGCTTTCCCACTATCCACTTTAATATTGTTTGAAGCCTATCAATTTACTCAGGATACCTGCATATTGTTTACCATGACCTGATTAATAGACGTACACAGTAGTTATCAGACAACCATAAAGTCTAATATAGCTAGTAGCTACATTCAACAAAACCATATCAACACACATAGAGTGTACTATCCTTACTCGCTTTGTTCACTTCATGGTATGAAGAAAGTAGTTACATTTAAAACCTGTTTGGGGACTTCAATGGTATACTACAGCACCATCTTTGGATAGAATACTCTAATTTGCAGACATATAATGCCCAGAATAACTGGAAAACATGTGATCATAACAGTGAAAATATTTGGGATAAAAAGTAAGGAGAGTTCTACCATACAAAGTAACAGTGTCAAGATATAGGGACAGAAAATATTCTAGCATAGTAAGAGCATTCAATATACAGTTAGCAAGTGCAACACAGGCCTTCAGTTTATTGATTTTCTCCCTATATCATGACATATATAATACAAGGCATTAACATGATGGGAAATGTCACCACTCTGTAAAATACAGGTGGCCACATAGCAAACACACCAATCATATCAAAGCAGCTGAAACAGTCCCTACATAAAAATTAACATATCATTTGCATTTTGTCAAGCTTGTTATTGAAATGTCTTATCGATATTCAACATTTGAGTATTCTTTCAGACTTGTATGTGAGTCGTAGGACTAAATATTAGCTACTGGAAAAAAGCTTAGCTTATTTGTTATTTGTTGTTTGTTGTTTTAATAGCTATGTAATTTTCAGTAGTTAACAGATTAGACTGATATACACATTCAATGAAAGTAGTATTCATCATGGTGTTACAACCATCTTTGACTGCTCGTGATCAGTGAATGTTATGCACATTCTAATTCCCACTTCAACACATTTTTGAATCATTCCTTGTAATGTTTCAGATTGTTGTAACAGCCATTATGGAAAACATCAAACAATTTGTGAAAGATGCTGAAGGCTGCGACTTTGTAAGGTTCACTCTTGCCGATTTCAATGGAATACCACGTGGTAAACTCACACACATCAAGAACTTTGAAAGATTCTGTCAGGATGGATTAAACATGGTTATTGTTTCGGTAGGATTAGGTCCAAGTTCAGAGGTCCCCAACATTCCAAAAATTACTGAGCTTGGATTCCCTGATGGTCCAATGATTCCTCAACCAGGGACATTCCATAAGCTACCATGGGCTGCAAATGGGAAGTACCAAGTGGGAGAGGTACTCTGCGAGCAAAACTGGCAGCATGATAATTCTCCAACCCCTGTACCGAGAGCAATCGCAAGGCAGCAAATTGAACGCTTGGAGAAAATGGGAATGAAAATACTATCTGCCACAGAGGTTGAATTCCAGATTCTTGAGAAGGACACCCTTGAACCAGTGTTCCCCGGTCAGGATATATTTGTCCAATCTACCATGGCACAGTTTGAAGAGCTCACATTTGATATCATTACAAATCTCAAAGAAGTTGGAATAGAAACAGAAAATTTCCATCCAGAGCAAGCCCCGGGTCAGATGGAGATTGCAATGAAGCCAATATTTGGTTTGAAACAAGCGGATAACATTTTTGTAATGAAACAAGCCATCAGAGAGATATGTGCCAGTAAAAACCTCACAGCCACATTCATGACAACGCCATACAAGAGCTATCCCCTACATCCTAACCTCCATGCATTCAATGGCTTCCACTTCAACCATTCCCTTTGGGACATTGAATCAGGGGCCAACAAGCTATACGATGCAACTAAACCTAATGGCTTATCTGAGCTTGGATCATACTGGATCGCTGGGTTATTAAAGCATGCTCCTGCTCTCTGTGCCCTACAATGCCCAACCGTGAATTGTTCCAGACGAATTGGTCAACCATGGTGCCCAGACAAGATCATATGGAGCATCGGCAGCCGCCTAGTTTTCACCCGGGTCAAGAAGCAGGGAGAACCTGGTTTATACTTGGAAAACAGACTACCCTCAGCAGCTGCAAATCCATATTTGGTCATGGCTAGTACAATAGCGGCTGGTATAGATGGCATTATTAACAAAATGCAACTGCCAATAGAAAATGACCCCAATGCTGCAAGCTTTCCCAGGACTCTAGAAGAATCCCTCAAAGCTCTCAAAGAGGACAAAGTCATGTGCAGCGCCCTCGGGGAGGAGTTTGTAGAGTGGTATACAATTGCCAAGACTGAAATGGAGGTAGCTGTTTTCAAAGAATTAGACCCGACACCAGAAGCTTTGGAGGCTGAGAGAAAAATGTATCTCAAGTTTATCTAAGCTGGGAGGATATCGATGACAGGGAGATATGAACATTTCAACAATATGTTTATCAATTCCACATGTATTGTTTTGTTTTTTTTTCAATATTTTCACATGTATATTTAACTAAGAAATCCAAATAAATAATAATAATAATCACACAATTACTTGTTTTGATGTCAAAATGGAAATAATTAGTAATACTAATCTTATGAACATCAATAAAGGCACAGAAAACACAAGTGAAGAGTAAGAGATTCGTTCAACAGGTACACAAAAACATATCTTTTACCAGTTCTATTTACTGAACAATCATGGTAAATATAACCATGGTAATATAACAATATTTGTAATCACGCTGAATTTTATATCAATACGGAAAATAACCAATTCTTTTCAGTAATAATAAACATTGTCTACATATAATGAAAAAATTATTTGAGCTATTGAATGCTTCCCTCATATAAACATTGTCTTCACACAATAAACGTGTACAAATAATGAGCATTACACAATACATGAGATAATGAAGATTATAATCAGTACTTATTGTCTTTAGATAATAGACATTGTATTTATTGTACTCAAAATAATGAACATTATCTTTAGAATTAGATGTTACACTGTCTTTAAATACAGAACATTCATTATCAAATTAATGAACATTATCTTTACAATTAGATGGTGTTCATTGTCTTTTGATATTTAACATTCAATCTCAAAATTACGAACAATATGATTATCATCAACCCTCATAATACTTATACTTGATGATAAACATCTATTACATTGTAGAATAATTCTTTTTGAAAACTAATACTGAATGATAAAAACACAATAATGTGCAACATATTATGAATTTCAAATCATGGAAAAAGTAATATTATTATTTTGGGTATTTAATTGATATATGACTTCAATATAGGACATTGTGTGATTTCACATTTACATGCACGTTCTCTTATATAATATACACTCTACTATACCTAACCCCTAGAAATGCATAAGATACTGTTTGTCTAATTGTATTGTTTAGTGTACATATTTGCAAGTACCTTATTAACAAGTCCACATGTATTGTATTACCCTACTATCACACCAAACTAGTTCTCACCACGTTCTCGAAAACGGGCTTCAAATGTGTACGAACGGACTGGACGTAATTAGAACCGCTTGGGGTCTATTTACAAACTTCATCGATCGTACTCGAACGGGTAGGTCCTCTAGAACTTAGAACATGCTCAAAATATTCCCTTGGTCGTCACGTTCTACAATTAGAACGAGTGACAACCTACTAATGACGAGCTGGACGTACTACGAACGGAACTGTCGTACTTCAATCCTACTAGGGACGTTTTTACAACGAGTTGAACTGTCTGAGGACGTATTGAGAACGAGGTAGAACTAATTGCAAACGGGTTAAAACTGATTAAGAACGTATTTATCAACGAGTTAGCAAAAGTATAGCTATCACACCAAGCAAGTTGCCACTGCGTTCTTCAAAACGTAATGAATGAACGTAGCTACAACGTTCTACGGTCTGTTTACGAACTTCATGGACTTTCCCGGACGGGGAATGTGATTTAGAATTTTGAATCGATTCAAAATTCGATGGCGACCATACCGTTCTGTAATCAGGTCATGATGACCTTCTAGACTAAGGGACGCGTTATACGATGTTGTACACCGACTTGGTGCGACCTGAACGAACTACGAATGAGATTGATGTATTGAAGACTGTTTATGAACGAAGTAGCTAATTATTTTAGACATATTTCCCGACCACAGCCAGATTGAGCCCGTTTAATGACGTTTTCGTAGGACTGGCAAGAACGGGTAAGAACTAGTTTGGTGTGATAGGGGGGTTATAGAGACAATTTGAATGATTGATGTGGTAAGCCGTTTCCAATTACCCAGATGTGGGTAGGCAGTTACCGGTTACACCACCAGGTGGCTAATTCGGGGTAGATAACATGGCAAAGTATTGGAAAGTTCCCTTAAATTTGAATATTCATCAGTTTCAGTGATTCAATTTTCATATTAACTGTATGTATAGTATGGTTATACAAATTAAAAAATTTCCAGTAAAATAAAATATTATCTGTCAAAGATAAGAAAAGATATTTCACTTTTGTGATTTTATAACATGGGGTTTTATGCCTGACCTTGAAGTCAAGTTTTAAAGAATATTAAATTGTCAAAGTTGATTAACACTTAAAAAACACATTTCTAGATGTAACTTAGCATGTATATTTCAAATATGATACCACTTTGGCTAAATTTTGATTTTTTAATGACATGAATCAAGATTATTTCAACTTGTATCAAGTCTAAATTGAAGATTTGTTGCAATAACATGCATTGTACTTGGTAAAGGATGAGTCCAGGAATCAGTCCAGGAATCAGTCCAGAAATCGACTTAGAATATATTGGAAATTGTAATGTCTGAAAAACCAACCCAATCACACATAAAATTGAACCTCAACATCTTATCCTTCCTCTGAGAGGCCAAAAATTAATTTTCAAGATTAAAGAAGAATATTGGCATCAAAGACATTGCATATTATCAATATGCCAGAACTGAAAATATTTCAAGTGCAAATAGTAAATGAATAATTTAAACTAAAAGTTTGAAAAATATCCTCCAAAACATTGCTTACTTTCTTTGTAAAGACATTGAATTGTATCTTGATGATTGAATTAGTGTTTATCTGGTTAATCAAGGGGTTATAGTCTCTCAAGTTACTGGGCAACCAATTTTGACAACCTAATTGTGTTGGTGGAGTTGTGAATATTTCATTCAAATTCACACTGAGCACAAGATTTTGGTTTCAATTTTACAACATCTATACATGTACCTGATGATGAACAATCAGAGTCAATCCAAAAAATCCAAACCAGAAAACTGTGCTCAATGTGAAAATTACAAGTAAAGCAACATTTTTTGTGATACTTCTCACATAAAATGGCAGCCATCTTGTTTTTCCCCTTCAAATTAAACCTTAAATATTTTTCAAAAATATGATTTTCTTTTTATTTATTCGTGAATCTTTAAGTTATATCTACTTTGTATTTCATTCATGTTGCCATTGGTGCTTTTTCTAGGTGACCATCAATTTATTTTTTGTTGGGACATTTATTATATTAACTCTCAGCAGGGGGTTCATTATGCCTCAGACCTCATTAAAAAGTACATTTAATTATCAATTCACACATAGCTAGGCAAGGTGTGTCCGATTCCAGTCAATCCAAACAGAGTATTCACATAATGTACAGTGTGTGAAATATAAATAACACATGCAATGTCGCTAAACAGTTGTCATGGTGATGAATGGATTTTTCCCACTGGTTTTGATGACTTTCCAACTTTACCCTTCCAAAAAAATGTCATTGAAAGTGTGTTCTTTAAGTGATTTCGTTCCTTAAAGATGATTTTATAGGAAAAAATTTGCAATGTGTGAAAAGAATTTAAGCCCAAGACTCAATGCATTGTAGCTGCTTCATACCACTCAGGCATTGTTTCCTAAACTTTGCATTCCCGCTGTGCGGTCAATCAAAGGTTTGGCTTTTAGATGTCCAATATATGGGGTCTGTGAAGATATAATAGTGATGCTATATTATGTAAAGATTATACTCACTTTAGATGTAGCTGTTTCGTGTGTGCAGCCAGATCAACTTTGGATTTTTTGTCATCTAAAATATATATGTTTCTTTTAATGATAAATGTAACATCAATGAAATTGTACTGGGACACATTAGTGTCATACATTACTGGGAACTAGTCCACAAATGAACTTTATCATCAGATTGTCATAGATTCTCAGAAAGTGCCGCGTTTGGTTTCATAGTTACCTCAAACGGTAATTCCGTCTCATCACAGAATCATTCACTGACAATAATAAATGTAAAATTTTACAATTATGTAAAACATTAATAAGGACTTTTACTGTTCAACACTATAGTGTAATAGGGACTATATACTGTTTAAGAAGCAGACTACCTACCATCAGTTTGGTTTTCTTGTAAATTTCAGTCTACAGACTCCAGAATGGCTCTTCTTTACTTCACCATACTCCATTGCTTTATAAAATGTAACACAGTATTACTTTTGATACATTAATTTAAATTATTTACTAAATTTATGCATATGTATTTCAAAATAAATTCTGTTTTTAAATTCTCAGAAAGTGCCGCGTTTGGTTTCAGAGTTGACCTCAAACGGTAATTCCGTCTCATCATAGAATCTTTCAGTAACAATTAAAGTTGCACAACACTTTAATGTAATTGGGACTATTTACTGTTTAAAAAGTAGAGTACCTACCATCAGTTTGGTATTTCAAATGACAGTCTTCGAGCTCATTATCCGACTCCAGTATGGCTCTTCCTCCATTTCATCGCACTCCTCCATTGCTACATAAAAATGAAACATTGTATTACTTATGATACATCATTGTAGACTTCTTGAATGAATTTTTTAAACTTCAAAATACATTCTGTTTTCAAATTCAAGCCCAACTCCTACACTACATGCAAGGTATAGCAATGTATAGTAGTACACCAAATAATATTTTTTCACATTTCCTACATCAAATTTTGTATCAAGAGAAGTTGTATCAAAGCAAGTGAATTTAAGGTTTTTCAGATGTACCTCTGTACAGAAATGATTGAGATCACTGATTTTGTCAGACAATGTAGGTAAAATGTTCATCATCACTAAAACCTTATATAAAGCATCCTTTTGAGATTTATTCAGAGATATATATTAAAGGAAAACAACTTACTCGTCTGTTTGGGGTAAAGGTGGAGAACCTTAGAAGCAGATACAAGTAAGGTAGGGGAATGCCATCAAACACTTTAAGTCTGTCCAAAGCCTCTTTACCACAGATCAGCTTGTGAGGAACCATACCTTAAAACAATAAAATAATTTCTAGATATGGAAAGGCATAAACTGAATTTTAGATTTTGGAAGTGTGTAAGCATCTGCTATTTTGCCTCAGTTGGTAGTGCATGTAAAATGACATCACAGACTGAATCAAACGAAAGGCGGTTACAAATCATCACTGGCAAAATTTAATATGCAGATTTAATCAATATTATTTCACTGACTACATAACAAAAATAAAGAGGTTGTCTTGGCTTACCTGTAACTGTCCTCCAGAAGATCTTGAATGTGGTCCCAAAGTTTAGACACTCGCGCAAAAATGCCAAGAACTTCACTGAAATATATTACAGTATCAATAGTTCATTTCCAGTTCTGATTTTCAATTTCACCCTTTAAGGACTGCGATGTTTTGTAGCTGCTTTCCATTGAGACTGACTTTTAGAAGATAGTTTCCCTTTTCAGACATACATGTAAAACCTGATTATCTCAGGGGAATTAGATCTCATATGAATGCATTCAAGTGGCTTTTTTACTTAAAAAATACCATGAAAACATTTTAAGAATTATTTGGAGATCATTATTTGCTTTATTTCCATTTGCAAGAAGCCATATAATGTTGCAATGTGGAGGTTCAATTGCTTATTTTTTAGATTCAATGTTGTCACTAAAATTTTGGTTCTGAATGTAAATGTAACTCCGAATTTGGTACCCATTAAAATTTCTGAACACGAAGACAGTGTAGTTTTTGCCTCAGTTGGTAGTGCATGTAAAATGACATCACTGACTGAATCAAACGAAAGGCGGTTACAAATCATCATTGGCAAAATGTCTACAGATAAACACAATTCTCCATATCCTTTAATTATTCTGCATAAATTAATTATAACTTACGTTCGTTTCTGTAGGACTACCAGATATTGGTTCCCTCATAGTGACCTATGACAACACTTGCCCTGCAGAATGAAATAAATGTGGTTATAATTGATCAAAACTGTTTGAACATTTTGTTAAACAACTGCAAATTTTGCCTCAGTTGGTAGTGCATGTAAAATGACATCACAGAGTGAATCAAACGAAAGGCGGTTACAAATCATCATTGGCAAAATATTTCACATTGTAACTGATGGATATAATTTTATATCTTCTGGGGTTGCTTACTATGTAGAATCATTTTTGGTGCATCATAGAATCGTTCACTAAGAATTAAACGTGTACAACAATATACTGCAATGTATATCATTCATAAGGACTTTTTAGCGTTTAAGAAGAAGACTACCTACCTACCATAAGATTGGCATCTCTGAAGACAGTCATCA